CTTTTTGTTTGTCCCTAGCCCCTCTTAAAATTTTCTGTCTTTGGTTTTGGCAAGTTTGATTATAATATGTCTTGGTAACTTTCTTTTGGGATCTGCCTCATGTGGGTTTTGATTAGCATCTTGGGTAGATATCTTCTTATCTTTCACGACAACTCACTTTTTGAAATCAGATTTATTTTCTGAGAAAAAGAAAAATCTGCCCTAAGCTTTGGAGAGAGAAAAGATTTGGACGCTGGCAAGCTGGTGGCAGCTAGATGTTGTAGTCATAGTAATACAGTTCCTTATGTTTGTGTTGTGCTTCACAGCCCCGTGAGACAGGCAGAGTAGATTTTACTGTCTCCCTTGTAAAGAGGTTGCCATTAAGACTCAGAGAGGTTAAGGGTCTTAACTGAGGCAACAGACCCTGGTTCTGAGCCCATATTAAGCTACTGTTCTGGAAACCCTGGTGGCGTAGTGGTTAAGTGCTGTGGCTGCGAACCAAAAGGTCGGCAGTTCAAATCCACCAGGCACTCCTTGGGAACTCTATGGGGCAGCTCTACTCTGTGTAGTAGGGTGGCTATGAGTTGGAAACACCTCAAGGGCAATGAGTTTGGTTTTTTGTTTTTGTTTGTTTTCAGCAGGCTGGTAGGTTGCTTCTGGAGTTTGTAGTTCTTAAACAGGACAGTCCCTTTTCCCTTTGGTAGATTGCCTAATTTTGGAAACAATGCTGGCTCTTCTCTAGCACTGTGAAGTTTGGAATTTTTTTTTACATTTGGGGAACTTATATTTGGTGCCTCAAATTTTGCTTTCTTCCTCCTACAGTCTACATACATTCTAGCATCTAATATACCATGCCAGTGGGTCTCTTTCGTAATATTTCATGTAATATAATCTAAAAATAAGATATCGAGTGATGCTCAGGTTGTCTGTTGATTCCATAAATGTGTTTAGTTTGAAGAATTCTTTGTTTTTATACCTTTGGGTTAGTTTTTTTTCTAGGGAATATTAGGAAAGCTCCTTTTGATTTTTGTTTTGTTTTTTAAATTACTAGCTTATGAAGATCTTCGGTCAAATATATAAAATCAGTAATATTATGGTTCATTAGTATTACAAGAAATATACTAGAAATCTGAATGAAAAAAAGAAAAGTAATTGACCTCAAATTTCATCATCTGACAAATCAAACTATTGTAATTTTTGTGTCCTTTTTTTGTCTTTATCCGTATATAATTTTATATGGGAAAACAGATTTTTAAAAAATTACTAATGACAGATTATTTGAAAGAATTAAACAAAAGCCTGTTGCCTTTTTTTTGGACTTGAATCAAAAGGCAAAGCATAATAGTTACTTCAGTGTATGTACATTTTCCAAATAACTGGAAAAAAAGAAGGTTCTAGAAATTATCAGTTGGATACATAATTCACGAGCAGTACTTAGGAATATGATAGAACAAAACTAAAAATGTGATTGGGCCCTCAAAAGAATGTTTAATATGAAGAACACCAAAGGAACAAGGGAAATATTAGCCCAAGAGACAAAAGGGCCATATAAACCAGACTCCATCAGCCTAAGATCAGAAGAACTAGATGGTGCCCAGCTACCACCAATGACTACTCTGACAGGGGACACAACAGAGTCCCTGACGGAGCAGGAGAAAAGGGGGGTGCAGAACTCAAATTCTAGAAAAAATATCAGACTTAATGGTCTGACTGAGGCTAGAGGAACCCCAGAAGACATGGCCCCCAGACGCTCTGTTAACCCAGAACTGAAACCATTCCCAAAGCTAACTCTTCAGACAAAGAATAGACTGGACTATAAGACATAAAATGATACTCATTAAGAGTGGGCTTCTTAGTTCAAGTAGATACACAAAACTAAATGGGCAGCTCCTGTCCAGGGGCGGGATGAGAAAGCAGAAAGGGATAGGAGCTGGCTGAATGGACTCGGGAAACCTGGGGTGGAAAGGGGGAGTGTGCTGTCACATTACAGGGATTGCAACTAGGGTCACATAACAATATGTGTATGAATTTTTGTTTGAGAAATTAACTTGAGCCATGAACTTTAATCTAAAGCCCAATTGAAAAAAAAAGAGGTGGGAGAAAAAAAAAGAAAAGAAAAGAAAAAGAAAAAAAGAAAAAAAAAGAGGTGGAAGGAAGAATGCTTAATATAGAAAATTGTAATGTTTAAAACTTTTCACATCACCATTTGTCTTAATTTATGATGAAGTTTACTGGTCTTGTGCTTCCCTTGGGTATAGTTCTAGAAGTCCTCCCATATGGCATAACCAAAAAGGGAGAACAAGGAAGAGGGAATGCATGAAAATATATACAGACATAGATATTTTGTGTGTATATGTATGTATGTGTGTATACATATGTATGTATACATATATATTTAAATGAATGATTTTTTTTTCGACCTGTCCTTGAAGGTGACAGGTTACATTTTCAATGGTATTAGCATTTTAAGAGAAGAGCTGATTAACCCAAATCAGTCTCTGATTGGTAGGCCAATTTTTTTATTTTTTCTTTTGAATTGTGTATTGTGTATAAGTTTACAGAGCAAATTAGTTTCCCATTCGATAGTTTGTACATGAAGTGTTCCATGACATTGGCTGCACTCTCCTCCCCACAGTGTGTCCTCACTCTCCCCATTTCAGCCCTGGGTTCCCTGTTTCCTCTCACCCTGATTTTCTACCCCTTCCTGCCTTCGCATGTTTGCTTTTGGGCAAATATTGCGGTTTTGATCTTGTATAATTGATTGTTCTAAGGGGCACATTCCTCTCTGGTGGTGGTGTTTATTTTATGGACTTGTCTATTGTTTAGCTGGAAGGTGTTTCTCTGGGAATGGCTTCAGTTCCGGATCAGAAGGGTGTCTTAGGGCCATAGTCTCAGGGGTTGAATATTTCTTTTCTGAAGAAATCAAACATTATAGCTACAGCTGAAGTCCCCTCTGTACCTTTCCCCAGTCCCATTGCCTCTTTCTCCCCCAGAAGAAACCATTGACATGACTTTACTGTGCCCTATCATCCATTTTTAAGTACTTTTTCTACCTAAGCTTGTATCTGCAAACAACATATAGTGCTGTTTTGTGTTTTAAATTTTCCATTAAATATTACATTGCATGTACTTCTGCAACTTAACTCTTTTCATTCAGCTTTATATTTCTGAGAGAAAACATACATACATATCTTAATTAGACAAATTATTTTTTAAAAGGTGCTGCATGAAAATCCACCACCTTAGTAGTAAAAAGTAACATTTCTGTAAAACTTTACAGTGTGTGTTTTCCCATAACCTCATTTGAGTTTCACAACAACCCTGTGGAGCAGGTATTATTATGAATCCAGTTTAACAGATAAAAGAAATGTAATTCAAGAGGTTCAGGGATTTCTCCAAGGCTAAGTAGGTAACTAGAGGTAGAACCCTGGCTTTTGCAGATTGAAGTTTTTTGTTTTTGTTTTTTAAATTTTGTTGTGTTTTCGGTAAAAGTTAACAGTGCAAATTAGTTAGTCATTCAAAAATTTATACACACAAATTGTTTTGTGACACTGGTTGCAGTCCCCGCATTGCATCAGCACTTTCTCCCTTTGCTTTTCCACCAGGTTCCATTCATCCAGTTTTCCTGTCCCTTCCTGCCTTCTCGTCTTTGCTTTTGGGCAAGTGTTGCCCATTTGGTCTCGTATACTTGATTGAACTAAGAAGCACATTCCTCACTTGTGTCATTGTTTGTTTTATAGGCCTGTCTAACATTTGGCTGAAAGGTGGACTTCGGGAGTGGTTTTAGTTCTGACTTAGCAGGGGGGAAGATATTTTTGATTTGGCAGCCCCGATTGAAAGTAAAATAATATCGAATATGCTTGAGTGTGCACTGTTTACCTTGCCCCTGTCTCCAGTCTGTGGGAAGTAGGTCAGTACCTCCTAGGCCTCTGTAAAGCAGAGTTAACTGTTTATGGAACAGACCATGTTGGCATAACATATAAGTAATATTTAAAATCACTAAGTGTATAGCTTACATGATAAGGGTATTTTGCAAGTGTTTTAGCATTTTATTTGCTTTTATATTATTTTCTGCCTTTTACAAATACATGCTTTTATTATTTTTCATTTTAACAGTATAAAAATTTTACATTTAATCTTACAAATTAAATGTGCAAATATGTGAGGTGAAGGAAGGTTTTTTTGCTTGGGCTGTTAGGATGCTTTGTGCTAACATCAGAAATATACAAAAAGAAGAACAAGATTTGCAAGAGAGAATGATTTAGTTTGGGTCATGTTTTGTAAGTATCTGTTTCTTGTTTCCTTCAGCTAGTTTGTAAGCCCCTGGCGGGCAGCAAATCTGATTTATTTCCTTTTATCTCCAAGTGCTCGATGTTATGTAAACTATAAATAATAAATACATATTTACTTAATGAATAAAGGGGAAAAAGCTTAACTGTGGACTGAACCTGGAAACAACAGTTTCAATACTTAAGGAAATTTTTGCATCATGTATTAATTAGTGAAAAAAATAGAAAAGAACAGTTAGAAGTTATATAGTGATTTTCTTATATAGCTACTACTATTTTTCAAACATTTCTGTTATGGTTAAAGAAGGGGTAATCTTCAAAGATAGAAATTAGCCAATTCATTAGTTTGGGGGCATTGTTTGGCTTACATTGTATTACATTGTAAAGTGAAGTCATTTGTACCCTAGTATAATTTAAAGATTGCACTGAGCACTAATAGCCATAATAAACAAATATTTCAGTTACTTGGTATTTAAATAAAAAATCTACTTGGTGACAATCCAGGATTTGCCTGTTTATAAGGGTTATGTGGGTACTCTTTTAGGAGGTTCTAACTTTTCTTGGTTTGTAAGTATATTTTCACCATAACTGTCAGTAAATCTTCTTCTTTATAATGAGCTGAAGATATGACTTAATTAGTAAAACCGGTTGAGTTAGATTACAGGTAGTTGTAGTTGTTGCCCATCACCATAATTTTTGTGGTAAGTAGGTGACTTCTGTATACTCCTTCAGGTGTCCCAAGTAGATACCATCTTCGAATGTTTACTGGAGCACGAGGAACAAGTCTTGAAGGATACATCATTGGAATCTGTTGAATGGGCTGAGATGGTGATCAATGTGAATAATATCCTGAAGGTACAAAAATATAGTGATGATTTCAGCAAATCAAAGCCTAGGATAGAAAAGAAAGAAAGTGACTTCCATATTCCTATTTTGCACACCAATAATGTGTAAGGTTTTAGGTGTTTGTTAACTCCAAAAAGTTGGAAAAATATCATTTTATTAATCACTTAACAAATATTTTGAGTGTTTGTCTTGTGCATGTAAATAAGTGTCTATAGTCTTGAGTTTCTTTTTGGTAGAATAAACCTTTTATTTGCAAATGTATTAATGTAACTGTCTAAATATTTTTCATTTCTATTTTTTTTAATTGTTTGTAAAAGCTTGCTACTTATATTATTGATTTGGTGAATAAAACCAGTAATGTTGGATGCCATTGAGTCAGTTCTGACTCATTGTGACCCAAGTGACAGAGTTCTTGGCTGTAATCTTTAAGGAAACAGATTGCCAGTTTTTTTCCCACGGAGCAGCTGGGTGTGTTCCAACTGCCAGCCTTTCAGTTAGTGGCCAAGTGCTTAACCATTGCGCCACCAGGGCTCCAAAACTAGTATTAGTTTTCCAAAATTGAACATAAATTATGGAGTAAAACAGATTTTAAATGCAAGAAGCACCAAAAAGGAATCTTACAGACCTATGCCGAGTATTTTTTCATATTAACAGACTTTGATATTTCAAATAGTCTTCAGAAATACTATGATTCATCACTTTCTGCATGTGATAACACATTTCTTTTTTTTTCCCCCAGGATATGTTGCAGGCTGCTAGTCATTATCGTCAAAATAGAAGCTCCTTGTATAGAAGAGAAGAATCCCTAGGAAAAGAACCTGAATATGTTCCGTGGACAGGTGAGATTGCAAGCATTGAGCTCATATACACTAATTTACTAACAATTCCTCCAAATATATTTCTAATGAGCCATCATTTTTGGATGCTTATATTACTCCCCTAATGAAAGTTTCTAAATGAAATGAAAAATAACATATGCTATCTCCAAAAAATGAACTCTTGTCAAAATCGCTTTATACCTTTCGAGTCGTTTATAGATCTCTGTAATTTGTTTATTTGACTGGTACTTCTTATGCTTCTAATAGGTTTTAGTATAAATAGTTACTCATAGACGTAAGTTCTGGCCCTGGAGATAATTGACTATATTTTATGTTTATTTAATACAAGAAAATGGAAGTAGAGTAGTATGAAAGGAATTTAGAAGAAAGAAGGATCAAGTTTACCTGGCTTTGCTGAGGACATCTTCATAGAGAAGGTGGGGTCGGAGCAGGACATAGATAACAATGGAACATCTGTTTGATCTGTTTTTCAAGGAGTGGTGAAGTGGCATAATTTTTAGGTGAGTGCTCTTCCCTTAAGCCATTATAGAACGTTAATTTACTATATTATCTTGTGTGATTTCACAGCAACGAGTGGTCCCTCTGGCATTCGAACAGCAATAGTACGCCAGCATGGGATTGTCCTGAAGATGATTTATCCTCAAGCGGACAGCACCCTCCGAAACATTCTGACAGAACAGCTGGTAGCACTTGTTGATTGCTTCTTGGATGGTTATGTTTCTCAGCTTAAGTCTCTGGACAAATCCAGTGATCAAGAAAGATACAACAATCTGGAAATGGAATACCTGCAGAAAAGAACAGATCTCTTATCTCCTCTTCGTAAGTGTGATATTTAGTGAGGCCTCGCTGGGATTTGGAATCAACTGGACAACAACTGAGGTTTTTTTTTTGATAGATCTTTGAGGGATCTCTGGGTGGTGCAAACAGGTAACACACCTGGCTCCTAACTGAAGGATTGGAGGTTTGAGTCCACCCAGAGGAACCTCGGAAGAAAGCTCTGGTGATCTACTTCCGAAAATTCAGCCATTGAAAACCCTGTGTAGCACATTTCTACTCTGACGCACATGGGTTGCCATGAGTGGGAATCGAGGGTAAATGGAACTAACTAACAGGTTTTTTAACTTGCAGAATGGATGAAGGAGTCAGATAGTTAATGCCGCTTATTCAGTGTAGAATCATTAATTTAACTGTAACCAAGGATTTAAGGTAAAGCAAATATGTACAGCTTTCTGTGTTCATTTATTCAATCTTTTTTCAGGTCCATGTACCATTCAACCTTTTTCTAGGTAGACTGTTGTAGAAGATGCTGAAGATGATTTAAAAATGAATAAATTAACATGTGAAGACTGCCCTCAAAGAGCTTATCTCAAAAGGCAAACCAGACCTTACATGAATAACTAGACTGCAAAGTAGAGTTCGATAAGGGCTGTTAGAGAGGTACAGAAAAAATATTATGGTGGGCAGTAAAGGACAGATTATTTTCGAGGCTAGGATTAGGCAAAGTAACTTGTTTTGCTAGCACATGAAAGAAGGAAGTAGCATTTTGGTAGACAGTGGTGAAACAAGAAACTGAATTTTCATCTTTAATGAGTTTATGTGGGTTATGACACTAACTACCAGTAAGTGAAAAGGTTTCCATTCCATTAATTATTTTTAGTATATAATATGAATAAAGGTACAGCTTTAATTTCTTTTTATTACACAGCTTAAGTTTTTGCTAACAGTATTTTTTTCACATCTTTTCTCATTTCCATAGTTACATTAGGCCAGCACCAGTGGGCTGCTTCTTTAGCAGAGAAATACTGTGACTTTGATATCTTGGTGCAGATGTGTGAGCAAACTGACAACCAGACTAGACTACAGAGATACATGACCCAGTTTGCTGATCAGGTAACAAATATTGAATATTTAGGCAGTAGATTCTGTAGTAAGGCTCTAACATTTCAAATCTATAATTGAAGTTTTAATTTCTTAGTGCTGCTGTGACAAATACCAGAAATGGGTGGCTTTAACAAACAGGAATTTACTTTCTCACAGTTTAGGAGGCTGTAAGTCTGAATACAGGGCACTGGCTCTAGGGGAAGGCTCTCTCTCTGTCAGCTTTTTTCAGCTTCTGTTCCTGGGCTCCTTGGCTGTCTTCATCTGGTGTGGCATCTGTCTTCCCCGTCTGTGCTTCCTTCCTTGTCCTTAATCTGCTCTTTTACATCTCACAGAAGATTGGCTTAAGATACACTGTTAAGATACACTGTTAGGGTCTTATTAACATAACAAAGTCCTATTACCAAATAGGATTATGTCCACAGGTGTAGGAGTTTAGGATTTATAGCAAGTGTCTGTGGGGACACAATTCAATCTATAACAGGAATATAATACAATCCTTTTGTAGTTGTAATCCTTTTAATAAGATACTAATTTGTGTGTTATGTTTCTTTGTAAATTGTAAAACTATTCATTGTACTGTATATAAATATTACTGAAAGATTCTTTTGACCTTTGAAAAGTATGTTAAAACTTTCGTTTCTGTTCTTATATTTTCATTTGTAATAAAAGTACTTAAGTGCATGACTATTGGTAGAGTTTTAAAGATTTGAACAGAAGATACTTAGGAACATAGGAATACTACTCTCAGAGATCTCAGATTTACATACACCTAAGGTTCCTGTTTTCCTCGGGTCTGATATCATGTTTCCTGTTCTTAAAAAAGTTCACGTTATGACATTGTGGAGGTAAATTTACGTTGGTCATTAAACCAGTTTACTCAGTTGATTTTCACATAAAACTCATTTTTTTATTGTTAGTACCATCAAGTCGATTCCAACTCATAGAGACCCTATAGGACAGAGTAAAACTGCCCCCTAGAGTTTCCTAGGCTATAACCCTTATGGGAGCAGTTTACCAGGTCTTTTCTCCCAAAGCAGTGACTGGTCAGTTTGAACCGCCGACTTTTCGGTTAGCAGCCAAGCGCTTAACCATTTTGCTACCAGGGCTCCTCTTTTTTTTTCCTTTTTATAAAAGTGACATTATTTGAGAATTGAGAAAATCCCTATAAACAAACAAACAAGATAAAAATCACCCAAATTCCATTACCCCGAGATAACTTTTTTTAACATTTGGTTTATATTCTTTCAGTCTTTTTTACTCGATGTTATTACAAATGAACATATTTTGGCAACTGCTTTTTTCACTTAATATATCATAAACATTTGTCCATATCATTAAATATTCTATAGCAACATTTTTAATGGTGTTATATTTCATTGACTGCTTATAACTTATTTGATCAGTGCCCATTGTTGGACATGATGTATCTAGTATACACCATTGCTAAAGTAAATACATTTGCACAGATCATGAGTTTTTAATTTTTTAAAATAGATTCTAGCTCTGCTGACATTTTCCATTTATCCATTTTTGCTTTGTCTCTTTTTTTTTTTCCTAAATTTTCTTTAGCATACTTAGTAGCTATTTTAAAGTCCTTTTGTACTAACCCCAAATATGATCATTCCTGAGCCTGCTTCTTTTGCCCACTTTTTGATTATTAGTCATATTTTCTGCTGGTATCTTATAGTATTTTAAATGATATTCTGGACATTGTGTATAAAAGAACACATGACAATTGATGTTACTTTTCTCTTGGGAGGGTTTTCATCTTCCTCTTTTAGGTCAAAAAGGTGAGAGTCAGATCATTCAATCCAGTCAGAAACAGGCGGGCCAGGCCTTGGTTGCAGTTTTGTTACGTTTATTTTATTTTTGGTTTCAGAAGTATCGGAAAGAAAGACTGATGTTTGTTGCAGAATGCCATGTTTAGTGGAAAAATCTAATCTCCAGTGCTGTGAGACTGCAGGACGTCTTACTCTTGCTTCCCAGCCCGGCCTTGGCACCACCCCAGCATTCACAGACATTACAAGGGGAAAATTGACTGGGCCTTTAAGGCCCTTCTAGGTTCTACTTTATCATCTAGTTCAGAATTCTACCCCTGAGAATATGGAAGTTAGAGTCTCAGCATTGTGACTATCAGTTTCCATGATGATGGAGATGTTCTATATATGCGCTGTCGAAAATGGTAGCTACTAGCCACAGGTGGCTGTTAAACAACTTAACCACTGAAATGTGGCTAGTGTGACTGAGGAACTGAATTTTTAACTTAAAAGAATTTAAGTTTAAACAGCTACATGTGGCCAGTGGCTACCATGGTGATCATTGATCTTGAGCAAGACATCCTTTCTAAATCTGAATTTACTCATTTGTCAAATGAGGTGATTGAATTAGGTAATCTTTGAGGACCCTTCCTAATTAAATCCTGCAATATAGGAAATTAGTGTTTAAAACAAGATTGCTATTTTGGAGCCTAAGACCTTTGGAAGAAATTACTATTTTAGTATCAGAAATGGATTTTTAAAACCATATTACTAAATATTAATGGATTCTTGTCTCTGTTGTTTGTAGAATTTTTCAGACTTTCTCTTCCGTTGGTATCTGGAGAAAGGAAAGCGAGGCAAACTGTTATCTCAGCCCATTTCACAGCATGGACAGCTGGCGAGCTTTTTGCAAGCCCATGAACATCTCAGCTGGTTACATGAAATTAATAGCGAAGAATTAGAAAAGGTAAAGAAGGATTTAGTTATATGGAGCAGATTTATGCCATTGTTATTTAGTTTTAATTAGTTTTTAGTTATTATACTACTACTATAGTTTATTTAAAATATGTACCTTTTTCCCATTCTCTCATATAATTAAAACAAATATTCTTTTCAATTTATGGTGGTTATTATCATTCCTTCTGATATCTCAGTTATAAATATATAGTCCATTCTGATATGACTACTGTTACAGTAAAATAAAGCACAAAATTTTTACTGATGTGTAAGTAACAGTCATTGACTGTTTTTTATAATGAGTATTATAATAAAAATGGTCATATTATGAGTAAAAACAGCACACAAATTAATTTTGAAGTTTGTTCTTGGCAGGAAGTTGAATATATAAATTGTTATAGAGCAAATTTTTTATATATGTCTCTTTTCCTAATAATTAATTGTATGGTTGGGATTTTATTTTGTAATTACCCTCAGTGTTGTAGCACTGATAAGTTTTTAGGTTTGCTAACTATTGAATTGATTTTCATTGATATAGCTTGGGGTGGGGGAAGTAGTTTGGGATGTACTTAACCTTTATTTCAACTTGAACTAGTACCCAGAATCTTACCACAGTTTTCATATTTTGTTTACTGTAGGCTCATGCAACACTTCTAGGTTTGGCAAATATGGAAACTCGTTACTTTGCAAAGAAGAAAACGCTTCTTGGCTTGAGTAAATTAGCTGCATTAGCTTCAGACTTTTCAGAAGATATACTTCAAGAAAAAATTGAAGGTAAAGAAAAGACTTTGAACAAGAAAACCTACAAATCTGTCGTGCTGTCATTTAATGGTATCAGAAACAGTACTTATCTCTACTTTAAGAGGAATGCTTTTTTATTCAATTTCTATATAAAATTAGTTACATACTTGGAATCCTTTTTTAGAGAAAAGTAATTTGTATTTTAAATAAGAATTCCTAAAGAACAAGTTCAAATAATTTTGAACAGAGTATTCTGATTAAACATCCTTAGTGGCACATATTCTAAAGACAGAAAGTACTGCAAAGAAATCTTGAAGTTTATTCATCGAATTTGTTGTAGGTAGTGATATTGGTATAGTAATTCTGCAAATATTCTGTATATACTGTAGATAGAGAAAATTATTAAATATGTTGTTATTTTTGAGAACCAAGAAGAAGAGATACAATTAGAGAAGGAAGATAGACAGAATCCTGTTTTATTGCATTTGAATTGGAGATACCAGAATGGAATCATGATTTTTAAAAAATTACATTTCTGGGTTCTGTCCACTGAAAGGACCTAAAAGTAATGAGACCCCAGTAGCGTGAGTATACCTAGTCCCATATTTTGGTTTCTAATGACCATTCTCCACTAAGAGGAAATTAGGGCTTGTTGGAAAAATTATCATGGAGAGTGTCATGGATTGAATTACGTCCCACCAAAAATGTGTGTATCAATTTGGCTGGGCCATGACTCCTGGTATTGTGTGATTTTCCTATATGTTGTAAATCCTGCCTCTGTGATGTTAATGAGGGAGGATGGCCAGCAATTGTGTTAGTAAGGCAGGACTCAGTCTACAAGATTGGATTGTATCCTGAGGCAGTGTCTTGAGATATAAAAGACAGAAGTGAGCAGAGAGACAGGGGAACCTCATACCATCAAGAAAGCAGTGCTGTGAGCAGAGCGCGTCTTTTGGACCGGGGTCCCTGGGCAGAGAAGCTCAGAGTCTGGGGGAACACTGAAGAGAAGAAGGAAGACAGAAAAAGCCTTCCCCTGGAGCTGATGCCGTAAATTTGGACTTTGAGCCTACTTTGACTGTGAGGAAATAAATTTCTCTTTGTTAAAGCCATCCACTTGTTGTATTTCTGTTGGAGCAGCACTAGGTGACTAAGACAGAGAGTCTTATTGGACCAGAAAGCAAGGTTAATGGAGATGTCATAAGGATACAGAGCTTTGAACGGCTCCCACTGGCCAAGTTTGGAGCTAATATGAACATCAAAAAGAATGATGGTAAAGGATTATAATTCACAGTTTAAAAAACATCCATGAATCCAGTGATACCCACAGGGGAAGGAGGCAGTGAAATGCTTCTTTACAGAAATAAAGGAAGAATGATACACTTAGGAAATTGCCATTGTGCAACCACAGTGAATAACTGGTCATCAAAGGATGCTAAAGGTTTCAAAGGTTAGGGGAACAGGCCATTCAAAGGTTTTCAAAGTACCATTATGCAGATAACTTCGTAAGTACCCAGATCTGACAGATACCAACAAGGAGACAAACACGGTATGCACTTCCTGATGTGGTGTAATGTGGCTGTCTAACATCACCTATGTGGTATTTTTGCCAAAATATGCAACCCAGATCTAATCATGAGAAAACAAATCAGACATATCCTGATTGTGGAACATTTTACAGTGCAATTGGCCGAGACGCATCAACATGAAAGAAAAAGCAGGGAGGGTCCTGTTTTAGATGAAAGGAGCTGAAAGCGTCATGCATTGTGAGATTCTTGATTGGATTCTAGATCACCCCCCAAATAACCAAACTACTCTAACAGACCTTTTGGGGACCACTGGAGAAATTTGAACATACTTAATAGTAAATGATGTTTAAATTGATGTTAAATTCCTTAGGTCCGATATTGATACTGTGGGTGACTGTTCTTGTTCTTAGGAGATACACGCTAAAGTGTTTAGAAGTGAGATATCATGATGTTTGCAACTTTCATGTGATTTGGGGGAGAAAACCTATCTATATATAAAGATAGGGAAATAAAGCAGAGGTGGCAGAATGTTAGCAGGAGGTGACTAGGCAGAGGGTATAGAGTGTACATTGTATTCTTTAAATTTTTCAGTAGGTTTGGAATTTTTCAAAATAAAAATTATAGGGGGGAATCTCAGCTATGTGATCAGGGGTAAAATGTATGCAGATAGGGATATTTGGTCGAATGGCTTAGCCACAAAGAATCCAGCCTCTGAAGTCTACGTTCAAATTATACTGCTGTCATTTTTCTTCCCTCTGAGGGAGTGGGTGTGGTAAAAAGAATTTGGACAGATATTAGACAGATCTGGTTTCAGATCTTTTCTCCAGAACTTACTAGCTTTGTGACCTTGGGTAGCTGAATTACCCTCCTGAGCCTCAGTTTTCTCATCTATAAAATGGGTAGTTGTAAGGATTGGCAACACTGTGTGTTCATTGAAAAGGCTTACACATAGTAAGTACTCAATAAATCATAGATACTAGCATTTAAATTTTATTATTAAAATTATGTATTACTGCTTAGGAGAATCTTCCTTCAATCTCTTATATTTAATAACTGGGTAGTGCTTATTGTTTTAGAGAAATGTGTATATATTCTGTAGGGTTGGCTGATAGTCTGAGAGAAGAAGTCGTATTTTTTAAATTTTACTATAAATATTTTATTTTATTGTTGTGCTCTAAGTGAAAGTTTACAATTCAAGAAGTTAGTCTCTCATACAAAAATTTATACATACGTTGTTATGTGACTCTGATTGCTCTCCCTATACTGTGACAGCACATTCCTTCTTTCTACCCCTGATTTCCCATGTCCATTCAACCAGCTCCTGACCTTCTCTGTCTTCTCATCTCACCTCTGGACAGGAGCTGCCGATTTAGTCTCCTGTATCTACTTGAGCTAAGTCTTAGTACACTCTTCACAAGTATCATTTTATGTCCCATAGTCATCCAGTCTAATCTTTGTCTGAAGAGTTGGCCTCGGGTATGGTTTTTAGTGCTGGGTTAACAGGGAGTTTGGGGGCCACGCTTTCTGTGGTTCCTCCAGTCTCAGACCTTTAAGTCTGGTCTTTTTACTAGAATTTGAGTTCTGCATCCAACTTTTCTCCTGCTCCAACAGGGACTCTCTGTTGTGTTCCCTGTCAGGGCAGTCATTGGTGGTAGCCAGGCACCATCTAGTTCTTCTGGTCTCAGGCTGTTGCAGGCTGTGGCCCTTTCTGTCTCTTGGGCTAATGCTTTCCTTGTGACTTGTGACTTTGGTGTTCTTCATTCTCCTTTACTCCAGGTAGGTTGGGACCAATTGATGCATCTTAGATGGCCGCTCGCTAGTTTTTAAGACCCCAGATGCCATTCACCAAAGTGGGATGCAGAACATTTTCTTAATAAACTTTGTTATGCCAGTTGACCCAGATGTCCTCTGAAAGCATGGTCCCCAGACCTCCGCACCTGCTACTCTGTCCCTCGAAGTGTTTGGTTGTATTCAGGATATTCTTAGCTTTGGTTTAGTCCCATTGTGGTGACTCCCCCTGTAGTGTGTGCTGTCCTTCCCTTCACCCAAGATAATTCTTGTCTACTATCTCATTAGTAAATACCCCTCTCCCTCCTTCCCCACCCTCGTACCCATCAAAGAATGTTTTCTTCTGTGTTTAAACCTTTTCTTGAGTTCTTACAATAGTGGCCTTATACAGTGTTTGTCCTTTTGCAACTGACTAATTTCACTCAGCATAATGCCTTCTAGATTCCTCCATGTTATGACTCACAGATTCATCGTTGTTCTTTATCGTTGCATAGTATTCCATTGTGTGAATTACCATAATTTGTTTATCCATTTGTCCGTTGATGGGCACTTAGGTTGTGTTTTTTGGATTAATGCTAGCCTTGTTGGGATGAGATGGTATCTCATTGTAGTTTTGATTTGCATTTATCTAGTGAAAAGCCATATTTTTAATGAAAATATTTTAAAACAAAAATTTTATTATTTTGTCCTTTTTTTCTCCAGATAACTTTGGAACTCTGGGCATCATTTTGCATTGATCACTTCGTAGCTTCTGCTTTGTTAACATAATGGGGATATTTTCAGGTCTCTAATTTCTGTTATGTAATTTCTATTATCACAATATAGCTAATGTTAGGGGGTAAGATTTTTTTCTGTTTTGTTTTGTTATGTAAATAATTCCTTATGGAAATTTTGTAAATTATAGAAAGAACACAGCAAAACAGTAAGTTGTCTATAATCTCACCTCTCCAGAGATAATTACTATCACTGTTTTATGTGTATCATCCCAGTCTGTTTTTCTAGGTACAGAAATGTATGCAGGTGTTTTATTTAATTTTTACAAAATTGGGATCATATGGAATGATACTTCTGTTTTGGTCATTCCATTTTGCTTTAACTTCTGTATTTATGAGCCTGTGTAGCAATTCTCAACACTTCATCCTCTGTAACTCAACACAGTCTCGTGGGCATAGCCAGTTAACGGACTGCAGCCTGGATAGTTGATGGCGATACATGATGTAGAAAGGAAAAGCCCTTGTCATCTCATCCCATAGAGATAACCACTGCTAGTGTAGTGTATGTTCTTCCAGTTTTTATTTTTCCTGTGGTATAGTCATGGTAGCTTTTAAATAGATCATTCTTCTTTTGTGAATGAAACTATACTATAAACCTGGTGCGAGGAAGCACTTCACTGGGTTACCATAATGCAGAACTGAGAGATTGTACATTTGGGGGGTTTTAAGTCATGAAATAGCTGTCTTTACAACTTCTTCAAGCAGTAGAATGTATTTCCTTAGCTATTCTCTCCCCTCCTATTTCTGGTTGCTGTGATAATGCATACGACTTTGATCAAACCATGAATATGTTAACATAATCAGGAATAAACAGAATTAATAGTGGCGTAGTGGTTAAGAGCTCAGCCGCTAACCAAAAGGTTGGCAATCCAAATCCACCAGCTGTTCCTTGGAAACCCTACGGGGCAGTTCTGCTCTATCCTGTAGGGTCACTATGAGTCAGAACTGACTCGATGGCACCTAACAACAACAACAAGATCATTGAATAGTGATGGGATTACCTGTAGAGATGTTCCTTTTTCTTTTTAAATTCAAATTTGTTTTACAACAGAGCAGTAATGAAAGTTACATTGTTCTCATCGATTCATATTTATATTCTCTGTCTCATTTTGAATACTAGAAATGGCTGAACAGGAGCGCTTTCTACTACACCAGGAGACCCTACCTGAACAACTACTAACAGAGAAACAGCTGAATCTCAGTGCAATGCCAGTATTGACTGCACCACAACTCATCAGCGTATGTGTTTTTCAAATTCTTGCACCATTTCTTAGTCTCAGAACATCCTCAGTGCTGTGGGGCCATGTAGTATAGTTTCTAAGAGGAGTTGTCTTTCTACTCCCTACCTTTCTGGTTACTTTCCCCTAGAATAAGTTGTTGGAAGCTGAGAGCAGGAAGCTAATTAGCAGAAAGCAATAGATCAGCGTCTGTCTCCCCGTATGTCTCCACCTATTCCTAAAGATGATTATCCAGGTGACCAGAAGAAATTAGTTGTATTCTGCTTTTCTAGGGTAGGACATACCTGTATATAAAGGTATATATAAATGCATCATTGAGACACTTTATTTCCCAGAATATTACTTTTAAGACTCTTCTCTAAGAATGATATAGTAAACTGGGCTTACATAGCCTGAAGTGCAGTCCTCACTCTTTTCCTCTGCAACCTAACACATTCTTTCCTAAGGGCATAGCTAGATTATGAGCTGCAGCCTAGATAACAGAGTTTTGGTGTTATGTACCCTTTTAGCCTTAACTCTACAACTTTCTCTTCCACTCCAGAAATCATTTCAAATACAAGAATAATGTTGTAGGATTGCCTTAAATTTGCTCTAATTATATTAAAAAGAAAAACAAATAATTCAAAAACTTTAGAACAATAGCCATTATTAGTAATGGATTTCTTATAACTGAGCTTACAGGAGCCTCTCCTGATATACGCCCCCGCAAAAAAAAAAAGCCAAACTCATTTCCTCAAGTCAGTTCTGACTCATAGCAGCTGTACAGGACAGAGTAGAACTGCCCCATAGGGCTTCCAAGGCTGTAATCTTTATGGAATAAGGCTGGCGCATCTTTCTCCCGAGGAGTGGCTGGTGGGTTCAAACCGCTGACCTTTTGGTTAGCAGCCGAGCCCTTAACCACTGCACCACCAGAGGTCCTCCTCTTCTGATATAAAAATTAAAAAAAAGCAAACTTGTTGCCATCAAGTTGATTCTGACTCTTAGCAACCATATAGGACAGAGTAGAACTGTTCCATAGGGTTTCCAGGGAGTAGCTGGTGTATTTGAACTGCCGACCTTCTGGTTAGCAACCAAGCTCTTTAACTACTGCACCACCAGGGGTCCTCCTCTCCTGATATAACATACTTAATTAAATCTAAGCTGCTGTTGATTATGAGGCTCACCTTTATTTTATGATCACTAAGAAGGAAAAAATAGTGCCAATTTTACTGTGACACACATTGGTTTTAAGATACATTCCCGTTTCAGAGACTTTTAACTTTGTGGAGAAAAAGAATGTTTAAAATGATGAAGGTTGTTTTTTAAGTGTTGTAAGACATTGGAAACAATAGCCAGCTTTTTTTTCCCATAATAGTTTGAGTATTGTCTTTGCTGTTAAAGGATCATATGCAGTCTTTTAAAATGAAGTCTGTTGTATTATAAATAGTGGTTGTAAAAGAAAGATAGGAACAATTCAAATTGATATTTTTAATAAAGCAGATATTTTTCTGATCATAAAATTACAGAAAATTTGAAGAATACAGAAATGAATATAGCAATCACCTATAATCTAACCAACCAGGGATAACCATTGTTAACATGTTGATATGTTTTGCTTGTCTTTTAAGTAAACTGTAGACCAGCTGCATACTTCATCATAGATTTCAATTTTAAAAACTATTTTAAAAGGCAGCATTTCAAAAGGTTGATAGCTAGCTTTTAAGTGCAAGGGCAGCAATTTATTTCAAAGATTATGCACCAAAGAATACTAAAATATATATACTATCTTCTTAGTCCTAAGAGTATAAACTTACTGACATTGTAAAAGTATATATACTTGTCACCCTTGAGTATTGCATTAAAAAAAAAAAAATTATATAAGACCAAAGTGTCAACAGCTACTGTCAAGCATAAATGAGAAGGGTGGGGGGCTGGGAGGTTAAATAAATGGAAGTTTCTCTTTCAAACAGAACAGAAATAATGAGACTGTTGACACAGTGTGAAGAATGTAACCAGTGTCGCTGATCATTATGTCTAGAAACTGGAATAGGAACAGGTTTTGCTGTGTGTATTTTCACCCCCCAAAAAATAGGTATATACACACACACGTGTGTGTGTGCGTGTGTATACCAGATTTTGCAAATGAATTACTGATTTAACATATGCATTTTTAAGAATATAGTTTGTTGTGAAGTATGTGGAGTACAATTTTGAAACATGATGCTCTTCTTTACTATGAAGATACCTACAGCTTACTTACTGACTTCTTTTCTCCATTAGTTTCTCCAGTATTGGCTATATGATTACTTAGAATAATTCTGTGCCTTATGTTAACTTGCCATAGCTATATATCTGTGAAGAAAACAGAAGAGCTAATGAGTATGATTTCAAGAAAGCTTTGGACTTGCTGGAATATATTAATGAGGTAAGAAAAATCACTTGAGATGATCTCTGACAAGTATAATACAGGTATGTGCTGCATAACATCTGTACTGGCAACATCCGACCGTATATGTCTGTGGTCTCATAAGGTTATAATAGGGTTCAGAAATCCTGACCAGAGAATGGGACATAGTGGACATACTTTGCTAAGTACTGTAGATCCTATCTGTCTCAATAGCTCTCCAGGTCCTGCGTTAGCCCTGGCCCTTGGGCGGCAGGGGTGGGGGTCTTGGCACCCATCTGCAGCTGCCCATCCCACTGCTCACCTCAGGCAGGGACTGAGCAGACCCCACTGGAGCTGCCTAGGGGAATGCCCGCGAGACTGATGCCTCACTCAGCCAGGGTGCCCTGCGCACGATGCCTGGGCCTAAACTTCGGCCCCTCCCACGGTGGCAGCCATTGAGTGTTTGAGGCTGAGGCAGTGGTGGGAAGGAGGAGCAGGAGGTGAAGGAGAGGCAGGCAGGGCTGGTAGAGTTTAAAGCCCATTGCGGGCTGGGGCGGGGAAGACAGGCAGAGAAAAAGGAAGGGAAGGGAGCCAGCATGCCTGGAGGTGTCCACTGGAAAGTGCATGCTGCATCACTGCGGCTCTCGGAGACCAGGTGGCTCCTGCATAGGACCAGCCTCAGTGGAGCCAGAGTTTTCAGGCAGTCCCTCAGCGTAGCCGTGGTGCAGGTCGTGGGCCGCCTGGTGATTGTCTTGCGCGCCTCTCTATATAATATGGTGTCGGCACAATGTCCAAATCACATAATGTCCTGTTTCGCATGTCACGTACCTGAGTATATATTTTTCTGTAGAACTGAATACATATAAAAGGGGTGGGGGGATGGGAACCTCTTTTAGACAATCATGAAAATTATTAAAGAAAAAAGGCTTTATCACTGGTTTGTCTACCCTTAACTCTTGAAACATGTATTAAAACAAAACAAAAAAAGAACAGTTGCTGTGGAGTCTGTTTTGACTCATGGCGACCCCATGTGTGCAGAGTAGAACTCCATGAGATTTTCACGGCTGTGACCATTTGAGAGCAGATCACCGGGCCTGTCTTCCGAGGTGCCTCTGGGTGGGTTCCAGCCGCCAACCTTTCGGCTAGTAGTGCTTAACTGTTTGTGCCACCCGGGGAGAACAGCTGTCGAGAGAGTCCATTCTTGATGATTTTTACATACTCCTAATGTCTTTTTCCATGCACAAGTAAAAATTCCTGCTTTTCAAAGTCCAGAGGTATTTTGTCTTTTCTGAAGTGATTATGAGTTCTTGAATCTGTATGTTGCTTTGTCAGTTTATTCTTCATAGTGTTCACCCTGAGAGAAGCTGTTTCTCAGCCTTAAAAAGGGATATGGTGAAAATTCTGTAGTTATTTATTATAGTAATTTTGTATAATATGTATAAATATAGTATTGTAATGTATGCTTATACAAATGTAATATAATTGGGCAAATCTGCTGCAAAAGACTTGTTTAAAGTGTTGAAAAGCAAAGATGTCACTTTGAGAACTAAGGTGTGCCTGAGCCAAGCCATGGTATTTTCAGTCACATCATATGCATGTAAAAGCTGGACAATAAATAAGGAGGACCAAAGGCGCATTGACACATTTGAATTACCATGTTGGTGAAGAATATTGTATATACCATGGACTGCCAGAAGAAGAAACAAATCTGTCTTGGAATAAGTACAGCCAGAATGCTCCTTAGAAGCAAGGATGGTGAGACTTCGTCTCACCTACTTTGGACATTATCAGGAGGGATCAGTCCCTGGAGAAGGACATCATGCTTGGTAAAGTAGAGGGTCAGTGAAAAAGAGGAAGACCCTGAGTGAGATGGATTGAC